GTAGAATAATTAAATATATATTTATCAAATTAAATAGTTTTTTTATCACTATCCTTTTATTATAACAATTACATTATTAACTATATTTAATTTTCATTAAAATTATTGATAAAATGTGAGTTCATGATAAAATTATCTATACATTATTAACCATAATTTATAGATAATTGTGAGTTCATGAGAAAATGAATAATTAAGATGATATTTATGATTCATAAAAAAAAAAAAATTGCAATGTGTTGATGGTGAGTACATAAAAAAAAAAAAATGAAAACAAGTAGGAGCATGTAATGGGCCTGACATGTAAAACAGCCCTAGAAAGTGGGAAGCCCGAAGTTTCTAGCTACTTATCATAAACCCTGCTGCACGCTCTTCCTCACGAAAAACCCTAGCCCCTTCTCTTGTTCCATCAATCCACATAAAACAAAAATGGTACCTTCTTCTATTCTCTCTTCTCCTGTTAATGTTATTGGTATGGTATCACACGTAATTTTAATCCCTCAAATTTGTTTTGCAGACAGGAGAAACAGTGAATCCAAAAGCATACCCTCTGGCTGATGCACAGCTTACAATAACAATAATGGATCTGGTTCAACAAGCTGCTAATTACAAACAGCTCAAAAAGGGTGCAAATGAAGGTATGTATGTCTTTCTGTTCCATTTTTTATTGATTGGTTCTTCTAATGATTCAGTGTTAGTTTACTATTCTGTTTTTGTTTTCAGCTACAAAGACACTTAACAGAGGCATTTCCGAGTTTGTTGTCATGGCCGCAGATGCTGAACCCCTTGAGATTCTTCTTCACCTTCCTTTACTTGCTGAGGATAAGGTTAATCCCTTGATTCCCTACAAGTTTGTGTTCAACCTGTTGTAATCATGTAATATTCACTATGAAGTCTGGTTATTGTTTTATCAGTGCCTGTTGTATGTCTAATGAATTTTTTATCAAGTTTTTTACTTGTTCTTACCCTATATATTTTTTTGATGAAAGTTGTCTAGACAATTTTCGGTTGTATTTTAACATGAACAAGCTTGAAAATTCATCTCTTGCAACGCCTTTGTTGAAGTGATTTACGTCCAAAGATGCATCTCTGGACACAACAAGGGTATCTTTGGGTTTTCAGAAGTGTGGGGCGCACTCTATGGGGTGGATGGATATTTTCCATTTTAGACTTTAGACAGGGTTACTGTGTGATCATCCTCAGTTTGTAAGTGGGATACTGAGACACCTAAAAAATCTTAAGTTTGAACAGCTATGGATGTTATTTTCATCTTGAAAACAGACTTTATTATCCTGTTTAATTGGGATTTACATTGTCCTATATCCTCCTTATTTCGTCTGTTACTGTTTCTATTCATTCATGTTCTTAGGATTTTAATATTTAACAATGAAGTAGCCAATTAACCATGAAATTATTTCAATTTTAGAACGTTCCCTATGTATTCGTGACATCAAAACAAGCACTAGGACGAGCATGTGGTGTTACCCGGCCAGTGATTGCATGTTCTGTGACAACTAATGAGGGAAGTCAATTGAAATCTCAAATACAACAACTAAAGGTATTCACAATGCGTTGGTTTAACAGTATTCAGCTAGTTGCCAACTATATTACTTCTTATCATGTTGAATTAAACACATTTTGAATACTTTTTTGACATGCAGGATGCTATAGAGAAGCTATTAATCTGAAAATTTGATTTCGGTATGACGGGCTTCTCGAGTTTGCTGAGTGCTCGTTGAGGCTTTGACTGGACGAGTTGTGTTCAACTCAGGTGCTTTATAATGTAAGCCTACATTAATATTTGTCGACACTGTTTGTGGATTTAAACTGGTGTATTATAAACAGTTTAATTGTTATTTATTTGGGTGCTAAGTAAGTTTAAATTGCTGGCTTAATTTTTGTTTTGTTTTTTTGGATAAATCAAGAATATATTTCACTCCGATTAGAAAATAATTTGTATTATTATTTTGTTAATTTATTCAATTATTTTCATTATTTTTTATATGCATCATCTCTTAATATTTTATTTTCTCTATATACTTTTTTGAAAAGTTTATTTTCTACTTGTTAATGTTTAAAACTAACACCAAATGAAAATAGAATGTCTTCATAAAGTAAACAAAGCCCTATTTAATCAAATAAAGGAAAGTTCAAGCAAAAAAAAAAGCCTTCAGTGCAATTCAATTTTGGTTAAATGATTTTACGAGGTTCAGTTTATTAATCATTTCAATGGCTAGTATTTTTTTTAGTTTAGTGCAATTGAAATTTAGGTATATGATTCACTTAACCTTATTTTTGCAACCCCTCACTTCTAAAGTCGGCCTTAGACATGACAAATGAATCCGTCTTGTTCCAAAATTGATAGGGAAAATATGTGGGTAAAATCTGTTTTTTATTTACAGGACTGAGTGATGCTAATATCTGATCTGCACCCATCCAATTTGCATCTTTTAATTAAATTTAATTTATTTAATTTATTTAATTTATTTAATTTATTTAATAATTTTATTACTTATTTATATTTTTTAATTTTATTACAATATTATAGTTATTAGAATTATTATTTAATTTATTTAAAATACTATTTAAATATAAATGATCAAACATAAACATTTTTAAAATAATAAATTATTTAGTTTATTTATTGACTTTTATTGTTATTCAAACAATTTATGTGCGTGAAAGCGCGTGCGGGAAAATCTATTTCTTAATAGAGGTGGAGGCGGATTTGAGTCTGAGAAATGGAGACATGTCTGGGTGTGTTTAATCCCGTTCTGTTGCCGTGCCTCAACATTTTGAAGGCTTTATTCTAATTCTAAAAATATAAATTTTCATAGAAATAATATATTATTTAATTTTTAACATATTAAAAAATGAATATATTATTTGATAAAAAATAATAGATTAAATTAGATACAATAATATATTAAATTTTATTATAAAAATATCATAACAATTGAGTTGATCATATGGAATATCTTAAAATATTTAATAATATTATTTGTTAAATTTGAAATATTTTAAAATGTTTAATAATATTATTTGTTAAAAAGTTATTACTCAAAAAATTTATTAAAAAAAAGGATATATTAAAATTGAAAGTGTGTGGATGACAGATAGACAAATATTTGTTGTCATATCATAACCTCTTTTAAAAATGAAAAAAAATATATGTGGAATTTGACTAAGACTTTGTAATTTTATGAGAATTTTTTAAATATATTAAAAATTATTTTTAATTATTTTTTAAAATTAAAAGAATAATTTTGACATTCAATTTAAATAGATTTTAAAAGTGATATATCTCAAAAATAATTTATTTAATAAAAATTTATTTAAAATAATATTAAATTTAAGTAATTTTTTAATATCCAAAAAATTATAATATAATAGTAAAATACTTTTAAAATAATATAAAAAATTAAAATAAATTACACTTTATTACATGATCACAAATTTTTAAGATAATTTTAAATTTTTTATAAAACCCTTAAATTACTATGTAGGTTAATTTGTAATTTTAAAATAGAAATGAAGTCTTGAAGCCTTTATAAGGCTACCTTAAAAATTAAAATAATTAAATTGCCAAAACATTGCCCACAGAAATAGCAGGACTTTGATATTATTTCGCAATATACTATATTTAATATAAAAATAATTATATTTTTGCTTATGTAATTTTGAGGCCTAAAAATATTTGAGACGTGATCCCACACACATAAAACTGGCCTTGCTTAAATCAATAATTGACGTAAAGTAACTCTTTTCTAGTATATTTTTGTTGATTTTTGCTTGTGAACTCGAAAATATGACAAAATGTTAAAAAAAAAATTCTTTCTTTTGAACTCTGTTTAAAACTATATTTCTGTTGATTGTTGACCCTTCATAGAAAAATCACTCTTGTGACTTGTTTACTACGGCACTGACTTTCATTGTTGATACACTAAAAAAGCGATGAATACGTTTTCATTAAGTAATTCAAATAGTTTAATGAAAATCATGTAACATTTCTTCTAAATGAAGATTGTGTACCGTTATAAATTAGTCCTCTTGTAACAGGATGGTTAGTGGGTTGCATAAAAAAATGATTCCATAATGAAGACCTTGCATCAAGCACGTTCAATCAAAAGTGGCTTTTAGAAACGTGAGAGGAAATGAATCAATTTTAATGCATGATCATTCATCTCGTGAATTACCAAAAGAAACAAGCAAAGCAAATCTCATGTGCAAAATAAAATAAAATAATAAAGCATACTATTAGACTTTTAAACATGATCTATTCATGAATATCATGTGGAAGGCTTATGATGTTTCTTACTTCTCTAAAGTTAAAAAGTTTCAATTTGAAAAGGTAACTCATTATGCCAAAATGAGAAAAGTAATGATGATGTAGAGCACAACTTGTGAAGATGTTTACTAGTCAAATGCTATTTTGATGATAAAACTAAGTCCCAACATAAAGTTTTTGAAAACAAAACAAGTGATCAAATCAATCTTTAAACTGTTGATAAATGTGATTGATAAAACTTAGTTCAATTGTGATTTTGTGATGGTGATCTTTGATGTCATTAGATTATTCCAAATTTCAATTTTTTAAAAATTTCTTAAGTAGGTCAAATTCACGTATAACCTCTAAATTCGCGTGTGCAATCTATTTAAATCTAAACTTGAAAACAAATTCAGTCAAAATATTTTTTCACTATCAAACTCGGACAGGATTGAGTGAGATTATACGTTTGTACCACATCTGAATCCAATGTTACAGTGATTTTTAAAACTATATTAAGACGAACTTAAAAAAAAACACTGTATATGAAATTAACAACCATCAATTCTGCTTATCATCCATAACATGGTTTGAACATACAATTGTGTTTGGTAAATATCCATTCTCATAAATTCAATAAAATTAAAAAGCAACATATCACCAAATATAAAGATAAACAAAATAATAATAATAATGTAAATAAGAACAGTAATTTATGTATCCAAAAATAATATCAATTGTGATTCTTTCTTGAATTTTGTTCATCTTGTTTCCCATCTCTCTCTTCCAACAATTTCCCAGCTTCAGTATCTTCCTGCTGAACCCCTTTCTGAGCCTCAGAAGCCTTAAGAGCCTTCAACTTACAGTGATTATAATAAGCAACACCCAAAAAGGCAAGTCCATAACCAATCAAATTAAGGGGTGTAACAGTATCCTTAATGACAGACCAAGAAAAAGCAATAAGCAACCAATCCTTCACAACACCAGCAACATTCATAGTCAAAGCTGAAGTTTTCCCAACAAGCAAAAACACAGCAAGATTCAAAGCAAAAGCACACAAAGAATTACTACCAAAAACCCATAAATCTAATTCCAAACTTGACTTATCCCTTAATAAAGGATACTCCATCACAAACCAAGGAAGTGACAAGAAAACCAAACAACAAGGAGCAATGTAGTAAAGTGATGTAATAGGATTCAATTTTATCCCTTTAGAATTCAAAAGAATCTGAATTAAAACCAATCGCGTGGCTTCAAACGCCACAGCCATGAGCTGTAGCGTAACACCAAAGACATCAAACTTGGCTTCGCCGTAGGCAGCTACAGCGACGCCAAGCGAAATAGACACCATGTTGATCATGGTGTCTTTTTTGAAAGACTCTTTTTTAAACGAAACGCCGATGGAGTAAACTGCGACGGGCATAAGTGCTTTAAGCATTTGAATGAATGAAACAGAGAGGTAAATGTAAGCGGAGTTTGAGAACCAAAGGGAGAGAGAATAGAGTGCACCAATAGGGACAACTGATTTAAGGTAAATGTCGAAAGACATTGAAATTGGTTCGACAAGTTTGAAGATTTTGACGAGGATGTAAGCAAGGGAGGAACAAAAAGCCATGTGAATCATTGTTAGTGATATTGGGAATGGCCAGTTGTACATTTTTTGATCTAGGATGTATTTGTTGTAGATAATCACTGAGAAGCTTAGGAAAATCCATATTGATACGTATGTGTATGAAAGAAGCACTTTTTTCATCACACTTTCTGATACTGTCATTGTTTTTGTGAATGAAGGAGATTTGAGATGCTGCTGTTTGGTGGAGAGGGAAGAGATTTGGACTATTTAAGGTTGTTGGGTTTTCTTTTTCTGTACGACTTCTTTTGAGTTTAGTTCAAGTTTTTGTTTCGTGAAAAAAGTTACCATATTTTGGTGCTTTATTGCTTTTGTTAAATTGTGAAAGATAACTTTACTTTTTTTTTTTGACATAAAAATAAGAAGACAAATTTATCTGAAAACTATCATATTCATTTTGTGATCTGAAACTTACTGCTCTAGTATTATAGATTTTTTATAGATAAATGTTAATAAGTTAACGGTTATGTTAGTCTACAATATAAGAAAAGAAAATACTATGCTCTTCAAAATACCAATATGCCACTATCTTCAATTTGCACTCTCACGTGTTTGCCCTCTTTATCAAACTTGCTACTTTCTTTCACATCTTTCCATCTTCCGTTTCCCATCAATGTCTTTTCGTTTTTCTTTTTCCATCTGGTTACAAGATTTTAAATATATCTTTTAAAATCCTTTCACATCAACTTTGTTATAGCAGATTGACCAAGCTAGCCTATTATGCTTGCAATGCTATATTTGGTATTTTTGATACAACTTCTTTATTTCGCTTCTCTCTTCAATATCTTTCTTCTTACCACAAACAACTTTTAACTCTTTTGTAGGCCATCTTCTTCCTTCGCTTTCATGGCTAGATCGTTCAAAAAAGTTTTCGACACCAACGACACTAAGGACTGAAAGAGTTACTGCTTAATTTTAAGTTAGAATAAAAGTCCTATTTATAGGACTGACTTAGTCTTTTAGTTGTATTCTGCTTTCCTTAATTTTAGGAACCACTTAGCATTATTAGCCTTTATTTTAGCATAGTTGATTGTTTAAGTTATTATTTCCATCTTGTATTCAATGGCTTATTTAAGCCAATACTACAATTAATAAAGAGAGTCATTCAGTCCAATTTGTTCAGTTCTTACTTTTAGTTTCAATATACATAAAAGTTCTCAACAATTTGGTATCAGAGCCCCCACTGGGCCTGATATATCAAAGCGGCCGTCTTTGATATCCTTGCAGCAGCAAAAGAAAAATGACTACAGAAGGGAGCTTTGTGCAACCCGCAATCCCGCGGTTTGATGGTCATTATGATCATTGGAGTATGCTAATGGAAAATTTCCTCAGATCAAAGGAATATTGGGAGCTAATCGAGCCTGGCTATGTTGAGCCAGCAAGTGGCGTGGAACTGACAGAAACACAACGAAAGAAGAACGATGAGATGAAGTTGAAGGATCTCAAAACGAAAAACTATCTCTTTCAGGCGATTGATCGAACTGTGCTTGACACCATCCTTAAGAAGGATACTTCTAAAGATATATGGGATGCTATAAAGAAAAAGTTTGAAGGAAATACAAGGGTCAAAAGGTCTCATCTTCAAGCTCTCCGCATAGAATTTGAAACTCTTGAGATGAGATCTAGTGAAGGTATAACAGAATATTTCTCTAGGGTCATGGCAGTGGCAAATAAAATGAGAATATACGGGGAGAATATGTCAGATGTTAAAGTGGTTGAAAAGATTTTACGCTCTTTAACGGAGAAGTTTAACTATATTGTTTGTTCTATTGAAGAGTCAAAGGATATCGATGATCTTTCTATCGATGAGTTACAAAGCTCCTTAATAGTGCATGAACAGAAGTTCCAAAGACGCAGTGGCGAAGAACAAGCTTTGAAAGTTACATATGAAGGAGGAAGAGGTCGTGGTCGAGCTGGTTACAGAGGAAGGGGAAGAGGTAGAGGTCGAACGAATTTCAACAAGGCGACTATTGAGTGTTACCAATGTCATCGACTTGGACATTTTCGTTATGAATGTCCTCGCAACAATGAAGCTAATTATGCAGAATTTGATGAAGAAACGGAAATGCTTTTGATGTCTTATGAGGAGTTGTATGAAGCTAAAAGACAAGATGCATGGTTCCTTGATTCAGGATGTTCCAATCATATGTGCGGTGATCGAACTATGTTCAATGAACTTGATGAAAAATTCTGACATTCTGTAAAATTGGGAAACAACACTAAGATGGATGTGATGGGAAAAGGAAGTGTGAAATTACTGCTAAATGGAATGAACCTTGTTGTTACTGAAGTATACTTTATTCCAAAATTGAAAAATAATCTCTTAAGTATAGGGCAGTTGCAAGAAAAGAATTTGGAGATTTTGATCAAGGGAGGAAGTTGCAAGATATTTCATCCAGAGAAGGGCTTGATTATTCAAACCAGCATGAGTGCCAATAGGATGTTTATCTTGCTGCCCCAAACTCAATCCTCTTCACTAACACAATCTGATCAGTGCTTTCACACTAAAGCTCAAGAATTGTCACATCTCTGGCACCGAAGGTATGGACATCTAAGTTATAAAGGCTTGAAAACTTTGTTGTACAAAAAACATGGTTCGTGGACTTCCTCAACTCTCCATCTCCACTGTGACATGCGCTGATTGCATCAACGGAAAGCAACATCGTGACTCTATTCCAAGGAAGAGTAATTGGAGAGCAACACAAAAGCTAGAACTCATTCATTCAGACATCTGTGGTCCTATCAGTCCCATATCTAACAGCAACAAAAGGTACATCCTATTATTCATTGATGATTATAGTAGAAAAGCATGGGTGTATTTCTTGGTAGAAAAGTCTGAGGCTTTAAATTCTTTTAAATGCTTTAAAATCATGGTTGAGAAGGAAGTTGGGATGCCTATTAAGTGTCTACGCACTGATAGAGGAGGTGAATTTAATTCAAACGAGTTCAATGATTTTTGCAAACAAAGTGGAATTAAGAGGCAATTAACCACTGCTTATACTCCGCAACAGAACGGTGTCGCTGAGAGGAAAAACAGAACTGTTATGAACATGGTTCGTTCCATGCTATCTGATAAAAACATTCCAAAAACCTTCTGGCCGAAGGCTGTAAATTGGACTGTTTATGTTCTAAACAGGTGTCCTACTTTTGCAGTCAAGGATGTAACGCCAGAGGAGGCCTGGAGTGGAATAAAACCGTCGATTGACCACTTTCGGGTATTTGGGTGCATAGCACACGCTCATGTTCCAGAATCAAGGAGGACTAAACTTGACAATAGAAGTATTACATGTGTTTTGCTAGGAGTTAGTGAAGAATCAAAAGGATATAAATTGTTTGATCTGGTTGCTAAAAAGGTTGTCGTAAGTAGAGATATTATCTTTGAGGAGGAAAAGAAATGGGATTGGAATGAAAAACAAACAGTACTAGATTTAGAGTGGGAAGAAATGGCAAGTGAAAATGAGAGTGAAGCAAATATTGACAGGGAGATTGGTGAAACCCGTGACGAGGGAGTTGGAGAAATTGTGAATGATGATAGTGATGGTGAAGAGAGAGTGAGGCGACCTCCTACATGGATGAATGATTATGTTAGTGGCGAAGGTTTGTCCGACGATGAAGCCCACTTGGCTTTAATGGTGTCAACCGATCCATTAAGTTTCGAGGAAGCCGTGAAGAGTAAAAATTAGAAATTGGCCATGGATAATGAAATTAAATCCATTGAAAAGAATCTTACATGGACACTCACTGAACCACCTGTTGGTGCCAAAATAATTGGAGTAAAATGGATTTACAAAACCAAATACAATGAACATGGAAAAATTGACAAGTACAAGGCTCGTTTGGTTGCGAAAGGGTATTCTCAAATGCATGGAGTGGACTACACAGAAGTTTATGCACCAGTGGCAAGGATGGATACAGTGAGAATGATTGTTGCTCTAGCGGCATATAAGAATTGGCAGATTTTTCAGCTGGATGTCAAGTCGGCTTTCCTCCATGGTGAGCTGCGTGAAGATGTTTATGTGGAACAACCAAGAGGATATGAAAAAGAGGGCAGTGAGCATCTTGTTTACAAATTACACAAAGCTTTGTATGGATTAAAACAAGCA